CTCGGACAAGGTGGCGCGGGACACGAGCGATGTCACGGGCGCTACCATCACAGACATCGACTGCATCTTCGGCTGGAACGAGCAGGAGCGAGAGAGGTCGATGCAGCAGCACTACGCCGGCCTCGATCTCGCCTCGCGCATCGAGCGGCTCGCGCGAGTGACTATGATGGTGTAGTGGCTGAGGGGCTGGGGCAGGGCTCGAGATCATGTTCTACGATGGATGGCGATGGGGGTTGGTCCTGCAACGGTGTCCCGTGCGGAGCAGTGGTGTGCTGCCGCGCGAGGGTTGCAGGCGTGAGGGTCGAGGGTACCTTTTCCCCCCTTTGCTATTAACAATGCTTTGGAATCTATGAACATGACCTCGAGTGGAGCCCCAGTCCTCGACAGGCTCATGACGATCGGCCGTCGATCCCGAAGGGTCGTCGGTTGAGCTAGGGAGCCTGGCGATGGACGCCACCGCGACCCCTCGTGGCATCTCTCTCGCCGTCGGCGAGCTGGGGGCTCGCGGACGGCCGACTTTCTATATGACCAGTAGGACAGCCGTGAGTGTGAATTGGATAAGGAGTTTGCGTCCGTCCACCGTCTTCGTGGACGTCTGTCCTCGTGACACCCACACCCCACACGGCCTGTCTTGCTTCCCCACCCACCCTCCCTATTTTGTGTGCGCTGTCGCGTTTTGGGGGTTGGTCCTGCAACGGTGTCTCGTGCGGAGCAGTGGTGTGCTGCCGCGCGAGGGTTGCAGGCGTGAGGGTCGAGGGTACCTTTTCCCCCCTTTGCTATTAACAATGCTTTGGAATCTATGAACATGACCTCGAGTGGAGCCCCAGTCCTCGACAGGCTCACACCAGTGAGGGAGGGCGAGACGATCGAGGGGTCCCGTAGCACGCAGAATCGACCCTATCCAGTGCTCAAGTGCTCAATAGGAACGAGTGTATCGCTTTGACGGATCGACCGTGCTTGTTATCAAGACTGGTGTGACGTACACAGTGACACATCAGACGACACATCTTCTCTCAACCCGCCGGGACGCAAAACGCTCTCGACGAGAGCCATAAGAAGGCGTCCGCACAGCAAGCCGCTCGTCGGACAGGCGAGCTCGGACGCTCGATGTCGGCGAGCGCATGGCGCACGCCTTGGACGGTGGCGAAGCCAAAAACACCGATGGTGGCCGTCCGCTGGCGTGAGCGGCGGCGGTCGAGACCTCACCCTTCGCGCCGACGACCTAACCTCACTCGGAACAACCTCACCCAAGCACAACCCAACCTAACACGAAACAACCTCACAAAAAGCACGATTCTCAAGTTGGGCCCTCTGCGCTCTGGCTGCAACACATCCCGAGTGACGGCCAGGCAGGAGTGAGCGTACGGCACTACGCGCCACTTTTAGGGTTCCCCCGGTGGGCGCCTCCCCAGCGCTCAAGGCACCAAAGATCGCCACGAACCACACGATGGGGCGCGGCAGCGGGGTACTAGTAGCGTAGTAGGATGAGAAATATGAAAAACGCCGGAATTCGGGCGAGTACTCTCGCCTGCACACAAATTCGATAAGTGGGACAAGGAGGGATGCGTCCAGGTGGCACGTCCTGGAGCTTGAGGCGTGCTTGCGCTCCCACTCCTCGGTGACCAAACGACGAGCTGGAGAGCTGGCGACCGAACGCGACCAGAGGGTGGCTGGCGGTGATGGACGACCGAGCGGAGTGGAGACGCAACGAATCGAGGAGCGGCTTCCGCAGGGAACCGATGAGCGGCTTGCGAGACCTCGGCTGTCGACGACTTCGCGAGGAACGATTACGCCGGTGGCGATACTGCAGCCGCTGTCCGCGCCGGTCGGCGACGTGGTGATGTACACCGGGCCGTTGCAGGCGATCGGCTGGCAGCTCCACGGGATACCGGTGGCAGGCCGCACTCAGCCTGTTGAAAATGAGCGGGAAGTGTGAGAGTTTGTGTTTGAAGTGTGTAACCGTATTTAGTAAATCTAAAGCATCGCGATTTTTAAAAAGAAAGAAAGAAAAGAAAAAAAGACGCGTCAGGACGGCAAAAAAGAAAGAAAGAAAACAGACAACCCAAACGAGGGATGGGGCAGGACGGCAATACGAATGAACTGAGACGAGAGATTTTTCTCCCCGTTTGAGGCGCCGTCGTCGGGCAAATACACTTCCTCGTTGACGTGCCGGGGCAACACGATATCGGTGTAAAAAACACCGCTCTGACAGCGCTCACAGCTGCACATGAAAGCGCTCTGGCGCTGCTTCGCGTCCACCTCAAAAAAGTGCCAACCTCGAACAGACGACGCGGTCACAGAGGCGATCACGGAGGCGGCGGAACCCTCCGACCCGCGCCTCTCGGACGACGACGGAGACACGCGCCTCGCGATCACTCTGATGACTCGCAAGCCTCACCGCTTCGACTGGTGGCTGCGCTACCACAAATCCCTCGGAGTGTGCCACGTTTTTATCCATGTCGAGGACACGCCAGAGCTGCTCGAGCTTCTGGATTCGGACGAGTTTCGCGGCTTTGTAACGGTGACGAGCGGCGAAGACGCGTCGCCCGACAACTATTACACGCTGCAGCAGCGACAGGAGGCGCAGGTCCGCCGCTCCCTCAAGCTCTGCCGCGTTCAACGCATCCCCTGGCTCCTCCACATCGACGACGACGAGATCCTCCACCTCGACGTCCCCTTCTCTGCCATCGCGCACCACGCGCCCGAAGGCATATGCGCCGGCCCGCGATTCTCCCTCTGCCGCCCGCGCGCCGCGGGTAGTACACCCACCACTCGTTCATGAATGAAATCGCTCCAGTCTGCGGTCTTACCGTAGAGCGCAGATCTCCCATTCACACTCCCAAGGGGCTGTGCACACCCACACAAGCCTTCAAAGGCCACCGGCCCGCGGCGCAGGCGTCAGCTCGCTCGTCTTCATCAACCTTGAGGCGGTCCCGCACCGACTCGGCTCGCATTGCGCCTTCGAGGACATCACAACCTTCACCCTGCACAAGATGCTCGCCTACCGCAACGGCAAGGCGGCCGGTCGAACCTCGCTCGCCCGCTGGCAGGGGCCGCACCGCTTCAGCGGAGAGAGCCACATCGTGTCGGTGGAGGCGCGACACACCGCCCCTCCCATTCCCCTCGCCCCCGCCTCTCCCCCCTCCTTGTCGCTTCTCCGGCCATGCGGCAAGGCGCGCACCCGTCGGCTCTGGCGCTCCTCTGCACTGCAGGACGCGTGTGTCCTCCACTTCGAGTCATGCACCTACGAGGTCTGGCGCAACAAGTTCCTCAAGCACCGCCACACCGACGAGCTCGCGACGAGGGACATCCCCTTCGCGTTTTACCGCGACTCCATCTCCCTCTTCCAGTCCGACCCGACCGGAGGGCCGGCCGAGGTGCGCTGGGCAGCAGCAGCCTAGCGTCGCCGTCGGGCCATCGTTGCTTCTCTATTTTTAAGGCTTCACTCTATGGTGCACTAACTAGGCTCGCTGGGCGGACTTCTACTTGAAGCGCAAGGTGGCGCACTACCGCTCGCTGCACACGTGGCAACGACGGCGGCTCAGGCTGGAGCCGGAGCCGCCGCAGATGATCGACGCCGCAGAGAGGAGAGAGCGCGAGAGGGCGCCGCCTGCGGCTGCGCCATGCGCGGACGAGCGCAGAGACGCACGCCATGATATTTCTTTGTGAATACCCTGAGCGTTTTTACATGCCCCCAGTGAAGAAGAGAGAGCACACAGGCCCCATACGGCTTTAACTAGCACCAACCTTGACACTGCGAAGTTTGCTGCACGCGCGCATTGGCCATCGCCTGGCCCCGTTCCCCCGAAAAGCGACATCCATGGACCATGAAAAGCACGTGGCACGGATCGGCAGGGGGGCAGGGCTGCGCGGCATACATGCGCGAGCTGAGCTCTGAGGCTGAGAGAGAGACCGTTGAGGTGCTGCAAGGGTGGAACGAGAGCAAAGGTCATACTCGCGAGGCGACTGGCCGTACCCCCGGCGTATCTGCCCGAGAGGGCGACACTGGCAGCTCTTGCGAAAACGAAGACGGGTTGTCCGGCGATAGCTCGGGCTCGGTTGATCCCGCAGATAGCCGAGACGTCGCGGTTTCCTGGAGCGATCTGGACTCTGACGGGTAATAAAAGTAGAAGCCAGTGACGACGACGCCGCACATGCCCCAGCCGACACAGCAGACGGAGAAGATGGCTAAGCTGAGCCCCCTGGCATCGTCCTCCTTCTCCTCGTCCGACTTGCAGTCGAAATTCTGGAGCTCTCCCACGTCGAAGACCTTCTCGTGGGATGAGAGCGGGCGCTACCAGACCCGCGACTTCGCAGCGGCGCCATCTCGCGTGGGGCGCAAGGAGCGTGGTGTCGTGTGGCGCTTCCTCGAGGACGCCTTGCCGGCGAAGCGCCGAAGCTCCTCCGAGGAGGCAAAGTCGGCAGAGGCTGCGCCGCCGCGGGTCAAAAGAGGTCGCAGTGCCGGCCTCGAGGAGGCGAAGCAGTCGGCAACCGCGCCACCGCGGGTGAAGAGGGGGCGCAGCTTCGATGTGTAGAGAGACGAGGTCTGCGCGTCCTGAATGGAACCAGCCGCCCTCGCGCGCGCTGCATCTCGCGCGCGCGGGGGCCGGGGGCGGCGAGACCGGAGTAAGTGTTCTGGCGTTGTGTGTGCCTCGTGCGTCCCCCGGCCCCCCGCGGCCGCGGGCGCCGCACACGACTCCCCCCCCTTTCTCTTTTTTGATGTGACCACTTGTTGTATGCGATGTGTTGACACGTGTTTGCTAAATGAGTCAAAAACGCAACACATTAGTGATGACTCATACCTTACTACATGCCACATGCACGCGATGGCCGATGCGAGCGCAGGAGCGCTCTGGCAGTGGCACACCCTCGCCTGAGGGTTTTGGTCTGCGCCGGGGTGCAGGGCGGCCCGCCGCCCGCGCACAGCTTACCGTACCAAGAAAGTGGGGGGCAGTGGCGCATGTATCGACGTGTGTCGGCGCTGCGGCGTGCCTGCTATGCTACGCGCCGGCGAATCTCCGTCGGCAGAGCGCGTGCCCCTCCTCGCGGTACTGCTCCTTGGTCACCACCGCAGAGTCGTACTCGGCCGCCGCCGCAAAGATAGAGCCTCCCCGCCACGCGGCGAGCGTCGGGTCTGAGGCGGCGGTGAAGCCGATGGGCAGGTCGCTCGGCACGAGGGCGCGCAGCTCGCGCTGCAGCCTCTCCTCAAAGTTCGGGAAGCGGCTGCTCCCGCCCGTGACGAGGATGTTTGCGTAGAGCGCCTCCCTCATGTCCGGAGGGCACGCCTCGGCCGCCTGCACGATGCACTCGGGCAGCCCCGCCTGCTCGAGCCCGATGTCGGACGGGTGGAAGAGCAGCTCGGGCACCGTGATCCGCTCGTTGGAGAGCGAGAGCGCCTGCTCCTCTGCGCGGTCCGCGGGCACCCGCCCCTTCTTCTGAGGCGGAGGCGCCCCCTCCTCCCGCGCGCCGCCGCCCGCTGCCGCCGGCGCCGCCGCCGGCTCTGCCGGCGCGTTCGGGTCTCGGATGGTGCCTATCGGAGGTTAGCTTGCTCTTGTCGCTTCGTATG